CATGCGGTATTTTAGTAGCGTTTACTTTTTTTTTACCTCAGGAACGGATTAATTGGTTTTCAATGCATTCCTATGAGAAACAGCAAGTTTCGGTTTACAAATTTTTGGCTATACCAAAAGTCCTGCAGAACGAATTAAATTCTTAAACCGAGATATGCCTGTATATATATATATATATATATATATATATATATATATATATATATATATATATATATTCTACAGAAGCTGGATCATAATTGAATATTATTTAAAAATCACATTTCCACTTTCAGCTGCTATTTTTTTGCATGGTTGTCATCATGTCTCACTGGAAACAATTTTCCTAAAGGGTTAGTTCACTTTTGCAAAAAAAAAAAATTCCTATGCAGATAAGGGTTGTTTGTTGTAGATAAAACAAACTGTTCAGGTCTAATTACATTTTAATAATGCCCTTGCTATAGGTGTAGGCCATTTACATACCTCCTGATGCCTGACTGGAAGACTCTCAGGACGTTGCTAAGTGAGGTCTGGTCATTACTGCTCACTTTCACCATCACAGTGAGATTTCTCTACCATGATGTAGTAGCTCTAAGCTCAGAATTTGAGAGCTCACTCCTGTGATGGAGGAGGTGAGCAGTAATGACAAGACCTCACTTAGCAATATCCTAACAACAGTGGAGTCCTGAGGCAGGTGCAGGGAGCAGGGAGGTACACCGGACCCGCTCCAAGAAAATGTAAGTTGTAAAGAAAGCCGACGATCCCCGCAGAATGGATCGGATCTGCGAAGTGAGCATAATGGATCGGAGTCCGATCCATAATCCTCAATCCGCAGATCCAATCCATTCTGCGGGGATCGTCGGAGGGGGTGTCACCAAGTGTTACCGGGTGACACCACCAGGTGACACCAACCCTAGGGACGCCTCTGCCTAACAATGTCCTGGTTATATTACAGTCAGTCTTCAGAAGGTATGTAAATGGCTTACACCTATAGCAAGGGCATTATTCAACTTTGGTCAAAACTGCGCAGTTTGTTTTTATCTACAGTTGCCCCTTATCTGCATAGGCAGTTTTTGGTACAGGTAACCTAATCCTGTAAGCAAATAATTTTTGTGAATATATTGCAAAATTTCTTACTTTAAGATTCTACTACTAATAGCACTTTATGTTGCAGGGTAACAATGCTAAGCACTCCGATCACAAATGTAAACAAAAATATCAATATAGCCCACCCCTTCTGCTTCCGATCACTTCTCCACTGATGGCTTCTGTAAGTAACACTGATCCCATTGACCACCAACAAAAGGTGGAACATACTAAATACAAGCAGTAAGGGGGTACACTGAGCAGCAATTTTATAGGGAAAAAACACTGCTGACCATCAACAGTTGTGTGGCACTCACAGCTGATCGTGCAACGACCTTGCGTGTTACCTCAGTACACAATTAGTAGATTTATTGATTTAGGAGATATACTCACAAAAGTAGTAATAAAACAGGTATGTAAAATCCAAAACCGAACCATATGATAAGGAGACATGTGTGAATCCCATCAGAAAGGGAGATTCTCAGAGTGACGCTGACACATTTCGAAGGGGGGTCCCTTCTTCATCAGAGCTCATTTTTTCTTCACTACAGTTTGTATCAAGCTTCCCCAGCTTCGGGTTAGAGCTACACAGCCTTGGTCGGTCCTGGATGAATTCCCATACTCTTACATAGTATTGGTACATCGGCCCTCTACTAGTCTGGGTCCCTGAGCGCAGGAGGTGTTGCATCTGTGTTTACTTTACTCACAAACTGATCGCCTGACCACTGAAAACTGCAAGCTGTTCTGTTCATTACATAGTCCTGACCCAGACACACTGATTCCTAAACTAAACCATTTTGGGGGATTTATTATTATTATTATACAGTATTTATAAAGCGCCAATAGTTCACTCAGTGCTGTACATTACAAAGGGGGACAGAACATGTGACAGAACAATACCAATACAATGCAAAACATGAGGGGATTGAGGGCCCTGCTCTTTCGAGCTTACAATCTAGGAGGGAGGGGATGGTGGCACAGGAGGAGATAGCTGTGGGGGATGGAGTGGTAGGAAGAGTGGAGGAGGTCGGCAAGTTAGCAGGGGGTGGGGTAGGCTTCCCTGAAGAGATGGGTTTTCAGGGTGCGCCTAAAGGAGAGGAGAGTAGGTGATAATCTGATGGGTTGGGGCAGGGAGTTCCAGAGGATGGGTGACACCCTGGAGAAGTCCTGGAGGCGGGCATGGAAGGAGGAGACCAGGGAACTAGAGAGAAGGAGGTCTTGTGAGGAGCGGAGTGTGCGTGCTGGGCGGTACTTGGATATTAGGTCGGTGATGTAGTTCGGGGTAGTATGGTGGACGGCTTTGTACGTCAGTGTTAGGATTTTGAATTTGATCCGTTGCGCAATCGGAAGCCAGTGGAGGGATTGGCAGAGGGGGGTGGCGGAGACGGAGCGGTTGGAAAGGTGAATGAGTCTGGCAGCCGTATTCAGGATCGACTGAAGCGGGGATAGGCAGCGGCGAGGCAGGCCAGTGAGGAGGGAGTTGCAGTAGTCGAGTCGTGATATGATGAGGGAGTGGATGAGTTGTTTAGTGATTTCTGGAGTTAGGAACGATTTTGGCGATGTTGCGGAGGCGGAGTCTGCACGAGTTTGTTAAAGATTGGACTTGGGGCTTCCCTGGATTTTTAGGGTATCAGAAATGTGATAGGAAGTTAGAACAATATTTTTTTCCAAAATGTTTCGTCTTCTTTCCTTTATATATTAAAAATTTTAAATACAGTGGTTTTTAAATACCACCAAAAGAAAGATAGATCCATCTCAAAAATTATATACTGTAAATGTATTTTGGGACAGTGTTGCATGACAGCAATTGTCATTCAAACTATCACAACACTGAGAAACTGAAAAATGGCCTAGTAATGATGGAGAATGAACAGGCTAGTACTGAAGTGGTTAAGCACACCACACACTACAATCTGAGAGTACAACTATGTAGTACAAGTGCCTGCCTGGATGAAAATGAATTGGATAGTTTAGGTAGGTCCTCATGTTACATGTTTTTTTTAAATCTAAAAGAGATTGCATTAAGTTTGTACAGTAAGACTGTTATGTGTATGGCAAGCTTTACAGTGATTTGTCAATGGGAGGGACAGCCTTCATTATAACCATCTCACCAAAGTCAATGTCATATTAGGAAAAGCTGCAGAGTCTGCATCCCTTTAGAGCAATGATTTTTAACCACCAGCCCCACTACTGGGTCACGGCCTCCAGCCACATGATCTCCACATGATCACATGATCTCCACAGCGGCCGGGAAGAGGAGAGAGCAGTGATAATGGCTGCAATACCTGGGTGGTGACGTCATCCATAGACCTACTAGGAGGCATGCATTGTCGGCTGTCCCTCCTCTACACTGCAGCTGCTGCTGGGAACTGATCACGTGACCAGACCTCAGAATAGGTAAAGTATAAGCATTTTCCTTCTACAAAGTAATTAATATAGGATTTAGAAGAGGGTGGGAACAGTTTTAAGTTTAGTCTTCCATTCACGCAGACATGACCATCCAAATTGCCACGGCAGCTGGTGTTGTTGAGAAGCCCCTCTGTGTCCACAACTATACCCTTAACATGGGAAGGGTGGACTTCGACGTCAAGATGATGAAGCCATACTTAGTTTTCCAAAAAGCCAGACACTGGTACAAAATTGTATTTATTTATTTCAATTGGCTCTATATAATGCTTTTGTGCTTTACAAAGCAACTGGACATAGTGGATCCTTCCTAAAATTCCAGGAAGAGATCATCACGGCTCTTTGTATCCAGAAGGTGCTATGTCTATAGCAGACATGGAATAAGGCATGACACCCGCTTTTTTGTCCCTCCTGGTCTCTGCTTCAAGGACTGCTTCCGTCCTTACCACATACTAGTTGTCATGTTTCACATGACTGTCATATGCCTTTAAGTGTTTTCTGTATCTTGTCTCTGCCCCTCCCTTTCCTTTGGTTTAGTTAATGCTGTATAGATAGCCCTCCCCCTTTCCCAGAAATGCATTGCAGCTCTAGCCTCATGTCATGAAGTAGATCACATTATGATCTTTTGACCTATCGAATGTTCATTGTTGCAAGATTCTTTCAGTTTATGGAATAAACTTCACAAGATCTACAAGATGTCTTATCCATTGAGTCACTGACTGTGGTATCCAACTGAGGTTGAAGTTATCGCTATCTCATCACAACTGTAAGTTACAGAGATCACACTATCAATGCTTAGATTGGAGAGACAGAACGCTAGTGGAGTATTAGTATAGGGTACAGCACGCCACAGTTCAGGTCACATATTTGCACAGGGTCTCAAAAGATGTTAGGTAGTCAGAGAACTGGCTATGGCATTTTCAGAGACCCTACAATCTGGTTAAAGTTAAAGTTAAAAAAAAGTTAAAAAACCCCATTAAAAAATAAATAGTAAATATAAAATAAAATATTTTAAAAACCAAAAATAGTTGTAGTTTTTGTTGTTGAGTTACTGTTATACTGTTACTGTTTTTTTGTTACTGTTTTATTGTTCACCATTGCTGTTTTCTTTGCAGGAATGTCATTCAGCTGCAGCACCGATCTGTTTATTCTGACAGCAACAGGGTCTTGCTCTCATAATATACATAAGGAAGTGTATGCAGCGCTGTTGGATTAGATTTTTCATATGAAGTTAAAAAAGAGCATATGTGCTCAAGCAGGGGGGCCTCAGGTGGCCAGTGGGTGGATGGCCCCTATGCTTTGGCATATATTTTTAGACATTTTTTTTGGCAGATTTCTTCATCCACATCGATTGATGCGAATAGAGGAATCTGTTTGGTTCTTTTTTTTTTCATTAAGCCCACGGGCTGAACGACAAAAAAAGAACATTTCATGTGTGCCCACCATTAGAAGTGGGTGGATGCAGAGTGGTATATTCTAACGGTAGGCATGCCACACACTTTTTCTGGCACAGCTTTATTCTCTTTTCTTCATTCAGCCCACAGGCTGCATAAAAAAAAGAATATAGCATATACACCCACCAAGGACCAGTGACCTGGTACATCATTGACATTGACTGGTACATCATACCCGGATGATTGAGTGCAGGCATCATCCTGATATTTCTTTTTTCAGCTGGCGATCAGCTTTCATTTAAAAGCAATTCTAGTGTCCAGTTAGCAGCAGGATTGCTTTTTCAAGCATCGGGAGAAGATGCTCCCCATTTGCCTTCCACGGCCTTCTCAGGCAGTCCAGTGCCATTGGGGAACCTGAGAATGCAGCCAGTGGTTCTGCCAGCTGACCATAGAGCTGATTGGAAACCGGAATGACGCCAATCATCTCTATAGTCTAAGAAATCGGAAGCTACAAGCATTTCATCACTTCAGTTTCGCAGGATATAAACAGCGCCATTTGTAAATTGGGAAAACATCTGATACAGAGATCTTGCTGAAATCAGATGATGTCAGGACAGGGGGGTAAATCCTCTGGAGGGCAAGCGGTTAAGCTGGCCATAGATTATACAATTTTCTTGTTCAATTTTCTTTAAATTTACTTTCAACTAGTGCAGGGGTGGCTAACCTGTGGCTCTCCAGCTGTTGTGGAAATAATTTCCCATGAGGCATTGCAAAGATGGGAAGTTACTGACTTGCAGAGGCATGATGGAACTTGTAGTCCTGCAGCAGCTGGAGAGCCGCAGGTTGGCCACCCCTGAACTAATGCAAGGGCCTACTAGATTGCATACAAATTGAAAGTGTTTAGATATTACCTCAAATCAGGGGCATATTTGCCACGAGGCAAACAAGGCGTTTGCCTAGGGTTGCACTTTTCAGGGGGGCAGCGCTGCCCCCTCCCCTTTCCCACGGAAGGGACACTTAAGCTAGGGGCTGCTGTGTCTTACCTGTGTCCGCGACTCCGTGTCCCACTTTGATCTGGTCCACGAGGCGCTGCTGGAGGAGGGTAGGTTGGAGGAGAGGTTGTCGGTCTGGTGTCTTCATCTCCGTGGATCTTGGATCACGATGTGGGTGGGATGACACGCTGCCCCTCTCATCTGGCCACACCCCCCTGGATCACTGGGCAGCCTATGGCACCATGTCCCTCCTTCTCCAAGCTCCGCCTCCTCGCCTGTGATTGGCTGCCAGATATGTAGCTCAGGGAAAGCAGAAGGAGCCGAGTGGCAGTGCGAAGATCGAAGAAGCTGATTGAAGTGAGGGACCAGCCGGAGCCGGTGAAGAGGAAGGAGAGTGGCTGGAGAAGGAAGACAGATCGGTAAGGTAAGTGTGGCCGGGATCTGGGCAGAGCAGATGGTGCTGCTGCAGCCAGGTATGCTGGCTGTGGATGGGAGAGGGAGGGAGCCCGGGCTGGAGCAGGGGTCAGCAATGTAAGCATCATTGGTGTCAGTGGGAGTAATAGTGCCCCATCATTAGTGTCAGTGTGGGAGGAATAGTGCCCCATCATTGGTGTCACTGACACCAATGATGGGGCACTATTCCTCCCACTGACACCACTGATGGGGCACTATTCCTTCCATTGACACCAATGATGGGGGACTATTCCTTCTACTGCCACCAATGATGGAGCACTGTTCCTCCCACTGACACCAATAATGGGGCACTGTGCCTTCCACTGACACCAATGATGGGGCAGTATTCCTCCCACTGACACCAGTGATGGGGCACCATTCCTCCTAATGACACCGATAATGGAATAAAATAAGAGGTGGCACTCTAATAGGAAGAAGTGGAGCCTAAAGAGGAAGAGTGGAGTTTACAGATGAAGGGGTGGATCTTAAACAAGAAGGGGTGGGGCAAATTTAGATAGGAGGGGTGCCCGATTTTAGTCTTGCTTAGGGCAGCACAAAACCAAAATACACCACTGCCTCAAATTATATGGTTTTGGTAAAAAGGAAAATTGTACAAGAACATTGCGTAATATATCGGTAGCCTAATATTAGCACACTAATAACTGTAATAGTTATCATTTGACATGCCTTGAATAGAACTGTTTTGGGAAACTGTTAAAGCGGAACTAAAGGCTTAAAACATACCTGTCCAATGGTCCTATGCCAGAGTTGGTATTTTCTTCTGAGTGCCAGTCTTCAGGCCTCATCATTGGCTGGTAGCGGATGGCCTTACTCCTGTGACATGCTTGTAACATGTTACATGTTACACCCATATTCAGGATGTAATGTTACAGATGCAGCAACCCCCACACCCCTACGAGTCCCCGTTGTGATGGCGAGCGGGGGATCTTTTCCCCCCACTTGCTGTCACAAATTTAAAAAGACATGGCTGTGCGGGGCTCCGTTAACCCGGTGGCCTCATTCATTCAGAGTTGAATGTGAGAACTACAAATACCAACAGCCTTTGCGGCTGTCAGCTTGTAGTCCTCAATGAACTACCAGGACATTGTTGAATGCTCTCTAGGTAGTTCATTGATGCTTCCTGTCAGTGTGTAACTGCCTGCCTGTACGAGGTATTAGCAGACAGCTTACATTGACAGTCTGCAAGAGCCTCACATTGCACCCGTGATCAGCAGATCACGGGTGCACTGCTTTACAGCCTCCTAATAAAATAAATAATAAATGCACATTTTTTTTACTTGTAAAAAGGTAAACTTATTATTATTATTATTATACAGGATTTATAAAGCGCCCAAAGTTTGTGCAGCATTTACAAAATGAACTTATCCTTTACAAAAAGGTCTGGTCACAAAAAGGTTAAAACAATATTGACAGACAACAAGCAGTGCTGCCAATGTTATAAAAAATGCCAGCCATCACTTATTTAGAGGGAATGTGCCTCTTCTGAAATAAAGTCCTTCTGTCTTTTTTTTCCCCTTTTCCTCTTTTTGGTCTAATACAGTGGTCTCCAAACTGCAGCCCATGGGCCTGATGAGGCCCTTTGCTTGCCTTTAGCTGGCCCTTGGAGCACTTTCCTCCCACTGATATGAGGCACTATTCCTCATTCCTTTGGCACCAAATATTGGACACTATTCCTCCCCCAACTATCAAAGAGGGGGCATTGCTTACTCCCACTGGCCACAGTCCGGCCCCCCAAAGTCTGAAGGACAGTAAACTGGCCCTTTGTTTACAAAGTTTGGAGACCCCTGATCTAATGTATAGAAAAACATACTATTTAGCTAACAAACATGTAGTAGCTCATGTGCAAGAGCGTACAATATGCTTGTTCAGATCGGTAGTATGTACGATATGGTTCAGTATTGTAAGCCATGGACCCATTTACAGAGCTACATTTTGTAGCATTTAGCTGCGTAAACCAGACTTTACCCGCTTCCCAACCACGCTATAGCCAAAAGATGGCTACAGCGCAGTTGTCCAGTTTTGGGAGGGCATCCATGGATGTCTTCCCAGAACGCGCCCCCCTGCGCGCTCCCCAGAGGCGAGCACCGGTGCTGTCAGTCAGTGATCGCTGTGTCCTACAGACACAGCTGATCATGTGATTAGGTAAAAGGCCAATCACAGCGGCCTTTTGCCACATGATCAGCTGTGTCCAATGACACAGCAGATCATAATATAAATACAGTTGTCGGTTATCGGCAGCACTTTCCTGACACTGTCACAGTGTCAGGAAAGTACTGCCGATAACTGGCAAATGTGACAGGGGAGATCTGCACTGATAATCAAGGCTATGACTATCAGTGCCCTGATTATCAGTGCCATCTAGCAGTGCCTAGCAATGCTACCCAGCAGTGTCACCCAGCAGTGTCGCCCAGCAGTGCCTCCAGTCTGTGCCCAGCAGTACCACCAGTCAGTGCCATCTGTCAGTGCTATCAGTCAGTGCCACCTTTCAGTGCCCATCAGCATCGCCTATCAGTGCCCATCATTGCTGCATATCAGTGCTTTATTGGTGCCTCCTCATCAATGCCCACCAGTGCCACCTCATCAGAGCAGCCTCATCAGTGCTGCCTATCAGTGCTGCCTCATCAGTGCTGCCTATCAGTGCAGCCTCATCAATGCACAAGAAGCATGGTGAGTATTTTTCAGATCTCGTTTGTTGCCACAAGTTTTTGGAAAATGAAGAAAGAAAACAAAAACATTTATTCTTTTCTTTTTTTTTTTCAAAACCTTGTGAGAAAAAAATTAGATCTGCAAAATACTCACCTTGCCTTGGGGTCATTTGGGGGGGACACGCATACACACAGATACATGTACATACACAGAAATACACATGCACAGACACATGTACATACATACACAGACACGTACACACAGACACATGTACGTACATACACACAAACACACATGTACATGCCCAAACACATAGACACATGTACACACACACACAGACACATGTACACACACACATACATGTACATACACGTAGACACATGTACAGATACACACATGTACATACACACAGACACATGTACAATTGTACATGCATACACAGACACACACACATGTACACACGCGTACACACACACACGCCCCCCCCATAAAAGTTGCAGTACTTCGTTCTTCACTCACAGAGCCGGGTACTGCACTCTAGGGGGAGGCAGAGAGCACAGCACACACTCCTTGCTTTGCTTAGACTGTGTTTAACTTTTGAGCAGTCTGACGGCTCCCAGTGCCAATGACAGATCCGGCCTGAGCTCGGAGCCTGCTCAGCAAGACGGCCCTGGGGGACACACTCGCCCCACCATAATTTCCACTCACCATTGGCGAGCAGGTGAGTGGAAATTTCAAACCCTGATGTAGCAGAATACATTTTGGCCTAAATTTATGACGAAATGTGAGTTTTTTGGATATTTTTTATGACAGAAATGAAAAAAAATATAGTTTTTTTCAAAATTTTCATTTTTTTTTTTGTTTATATCGCAAAAAACAGAAAAGCTCTATTTGTGTGAAAAAAAAGGACATAATTTTCATTTATATACAGTATTGCATGAACGTGCAATTGTCAGTTAAACTAGTGCAGCGCTGTATAGCAAAAAATGGCGTAAATTGCAGTATCTATACCATAGTTTGTAGATGCTATAACTTTCACACAAAGCAAATTTTTGGTCTTTTTTTGTTTATAGTACAAAAAATAAAAAGCGCACAGGTGATCAAATACCACCGAAAGAAAGCTCCATTTGTGTAAAAAAAAGGATGTCAATTTTGATTTGGGTAAAGCATTGCATGACTGCGCAATTACTAGTTGAAATAGTGCAGGGGCGAATAGCAAAAAAAGGCCTGGTCAGGAAGGGGGGTAAATACTCAGGAGGGCAAGTGGGTAAAGAAATGAAACCATATGCAGTGCATCAGTGTATACAGGTTTTTTTTTTTTAAAACTAATGCAAGCCCACATCTCTATTTCATCTCCACTGTAACAAGTTCCCGCCCGCCCTAAAGCAGATTGACGGTTGGGCGGGACACCCACCTTGTGACTGGGCGTCATATGACGCCCTGTCAAAACGAGCCGCGCTGCACCGGACACAGCCGATGGCATATCACTACACCACCCCGTTGCCAGTGTCACATGACCACTGTGACCAATCACAGCAGATCACATGTCAATTGTATACAATGGATGGCTTCCTGTCATGCCATTCATTGTATACAATGATATTGTTAGCTGTAACTGGCCAAGGCAGTCACATGATACAGACAGGGCCAATCACAGCCCATTTGTATCATGTGATCAGCTTTGCCCAATCACAGCTAATCACAACAAAAGATTGAATGAATCAGTTTCATTCAGTAACAATGATTGCAAATATCAATGAAATACATTGGTATTAGCAATCATAAAGTGTTAAAACAAAAAAAAAAACTGATCACTTGCCCAGAGTAGTTCAATGTTACTATGGTAACATTTTATTGCTTTGGTCACAGTGTGCTGAAAAATAAAATAGTAAAAAAAAATAAAAAATTTAATAAAAAATAAAAAAAGTCATAGAAACATTTGAAAAAAAAATACACATTCAATTATTATTATTTTCACCAAAGAAATGTAGCAGAATACATTTTGTTCTAAATTTATGAAGAAATTAATTTGCAAAACAGAATCAAAGAAAACTGCATTTTTTGTTTCAAATGTTTCAGGGTTTTTTGTTTTATTTTGCAAAAAAAAAAAAAAATCAGTGGTGATTAAATACCACCAAAAGAAAGCTCTATTTGTGTGAAGAAAATGATAAAAATTTCATATGGGTACATTGTTGCATGACCCCTCAATTGTCATTCAAAGTTTGACAGCGCTGAAAGCTGAAAATTGGCCTGGGCAGGAAGGGGGTGAAAGTGTTCGGCATTGAAGTGGTTAAAGGATTTCTAGCAATACTGAGGTGAAAGAGCCTGGGGGGGGCTTTATATCATCTTGGACTAGACTGTATTAGACTATAAAGCTGAGTGCAACAACCCCCTGAGGGAGAGCTTTTCTTTTTATAAGAGTCAGTAAAAAGTCAGCTGACAGCACATGGACCCTGGAGATGTAGTATAATAAGCATCTGGTAGTCTCTGGACGTTTGTAAGCGAATTGTAGTATACAATAAAGTTGGTTCACGAGAATGGCTGTGTCTCTCACAGCACAGTGCGCAAGGATTGGTTGAGGAGAGATCATGTGACTGCAATGTAGCCGGAAGCAGGAAGAGATTGTGTGTGGATACATGCAGCTTGTGTGCATATTGTGGGTGTACGGAGGAGAGCTGCTGGATGATGGCTTTGATCGGATGTGAGCTGACACGACAGAAGAGGAGGTTGTGGATACTTGTGGAAGGTACTGTGTTCATAGTGGAGAACAGAGGAGCCAGTGAGGAGATAGATGAAGTATTTAATAAAGGAATGCATTTCAAACCAAGCACATTAATACATTGACTTACAGACATTGGGTACAGTTAAACTAAAGGCTTTTTTTTGGTAGATTTGAATAGAGTGCTGGGGAGTTAGATCCACTGTCAGGTTGCTGCCTGTCCACTTTAGGAAGATTAGGGCTACTACATTCACACTGGCAGTTAGGGCTGGTGTGAATTGTAGCGGCAGTTCTCCATGCGGCTCTCAGTGGGTAAGCGCGGCCTCCAGCCTCGTTCACTATAATTACCAGGTCGCAGGTGGCCGTACCTGTTCACGGCTCTCTGCACAGCCAGCGATTACCTGCAGAGATCGCTTTTGGACGCATTGTCTAAAGCTGGCCACGCACTATACAATCTGATTGTATAGTTTTCTTTAGGCTCACCATATACATTACAATCAGACCATATTACAATCAACTTTAGATATGCCAAAACTATGTAATATGATGATCTAGCTATGCAATTTGTGTCCAATCAGGCAGACTCTTCAACTGCATACTTGTTGGTAGAGCTAAAGATCGTACAATAAGGTTGCAACGTGTGTGGTGAGCTTTAGAGCTACCATCAACTATGTAGTGCATGACCCTGGCTGATTGGATACAAACTGAATGTAGGTTCTTATATTACTTAAAGGATAAGGTCACCTTTTGGAACATGTAACATGTTCCCATAGCTGCAGCCGCCTCCTGCTGCCCCCCCCCCCCCCCCCCCCCCCGCCCTCACAGAATAGTAGCAGACAGATAGTACGAGGAGGAGTCCTCCTCGTACTATCTGTCAGATTTGAAAACAGCGTGGCCGTGCAGGAGCTCTGCCCACACGCCCACATCATTCATTGACGGACTTTCGTGAATGAATGTCAAGTCCCAGCAGTCTTAGCGGCTGTGGGCTTGTAGTTTTCAGTGAACTACCATGGTGCTGTTGAAGCTTCCTGTTAGAATATCTGCTTGCTTGTACATCCCGTACAGCAAGCAGATATTCCGACAGGTCTGCAGGAGACTTGCATGGCATCAGCGATCTATTGATCATCGGTGCAATGTTTTCCAGGCTCCTGTAGACAAAAATAATAAACGCACATTTATTTTACCTGCAAAAAAGGTGCATTTATTATTTTTGTCTAAAAGGTGAACTTATCATTTAAGCTGGGTCAGGGATGCTGAATTTGTATCGCCCGACATGTAGTTCCAGGCATATGTAGCTCTGGGCACCGGGCAGGTATTTTTATGTTAGGGCTTGTCAGGTGGAAGCATTCGGGTGGCTGCGCTGCCACCCAATTGTTTCCACACAGTGCCTGCCTGCCCCCCCCCCCCCCCCCATTGTATCCCAGGCTCTGCTTGCCAATCTGCGGGCCCAGGACCGGCATAGTGGATGCTGCTGGCTAGAGAGGAAGCAGGAGAGCAAACACACATCCACTCTTCTCCCATTGTTCTTGACCCAGAAGCGACATGTATGATGTCACTTCTGGGTCCCTTTAACCATTTGCCTATCGGGCACTTATACCCCCTTCGTGCCCAGGCCAATTTTCAGCTTTCAGCGCTGTTGCACTTTGAACGACAATTGCGCGGCCATGCAATCCTGTATCTGTGTGAAATTTTTTTTTTCACACAAATAGAGCTTTCTTTTGGTGATATTTAATCACCACTGCGTTTTTTATTTTTTGCGCTATAAACAAAATAGAGCAAAAAATTTGAAAAAAAAAAAAGTTTTTCTTTGTTTCTATTATAAAATTTTGCAAACAGGTAATTTTTCTCCACTGATGTGCGTTGATGAGGCAATACTGATAGGTGGCACGGATAGACAGCACTGATAGGGGGCACTGATGGGCAGCACTGATGGGTGGCAATGACTGACGCCACTGACTGGTGGCACTGCTGGGTGGCACTACTAGGCACTGATGGGCACAGGTGGGTGGCAGTGATAGGCACTAGTAGGTACTTGTGGGTGGCACTGCTGGGCACTAATCATCAGAGCACTGATCACCAGTGCCCTGATGATTGGTGCCGATCCGTACTCTGAAAATTGCCGGTTATAAGCAGTACTTTCCTCACGCTGTGACAGCTTGAGGAAAGTACAGCCAATAACTGGCAACTGCATTTACTGGTGATCTGCTGTGTTATTGGACACGGCTGATCACGTGCTAAAAGGCCGCTGTGATTGGCCTTTTACCGCATCACATGATCAGCTTTGTACGTAAGACACAGCGATCACGGAGATCGCTGGATGCGCCCCCCTGGGGGCGCATTCTGGCGGATGTCATATGACCTCCACCCAGAACTGGACAACCGCACTGTAGCCGTCATTCGGCTATAGCCCGGTTGTCAAGTGGTTAACAGTGTCCCAGGAAAGAATGTAATGTAGTGTGATCTGGAGCACAGGGGAGACATGCAGGTTCTTTTAGACCCTGGATGGGTCATTAAAAAGAACTTGTCACCAAAAAATCATCACATAGATTACTTTTTGTCCCTTATTAATTAAAAAAAAAGTGCAGTAAAAATATTTTTTTTAATATTGTATTAAAAAAAAAAATTACACCCCAGCACATTCTCCCCCCCCAAAAAAAAAATGTTGAGGCCTCCTCTCCCACCGCCACATATACGCACGTACAAACGCACGCATCGGGGTGCCTACACATGTTGCATATCACTGCACACGCCAGAATGAGAGTAATATTTCTAGCTCCAGACCTCCTTTGTATCGCTAAACTGATGACCTGTAGGGGCTTTTAAAGCGTTTTGCTCTAAAATTAACTTTAGTGTGTTTTTTTTTTTTACTGAAATTTAGCATTTCCTAGACTTTTGGTAATCTTGTGTTGCATAAAAAATTGGAACTACCACTATTTTATTCTCTAGGGTGTCTGCTTTCTGAAAATATATGTCTTGTGGGTTTTATGTGATCTTCAGGCCTAAAGTGATGTTTTGAACGTGGGCAAAAAACAGAAAAACAGCTCTGGCAGTGAAAGGGTTAAAGGATAAGTTCGCCTTCGAGAACATGTTACATGTTCCACTCATTTTTAGGGTGGAACATGTAACATGTTCCTGCTCCTGCAGTGGCTCGGAGATCTGAGGCCTCTGTGTGACAGCAGTATGGGGAGAATTTCCCTGTACCAGCTGTTGCTTTTTGAAAAGAGCTTGGCCATGCGGGGCTCTACCCACACAGCTACGCCATTCATTCTGAGTTCATTTGCGGATGTCAGCTTGTAGTTCTCAGTGAACCAGCACAGCACTGTTGAGCGCTCTAGTAGTTCATTGATTCTTCCTATCATTGTTTAACTGTCTGCCTGTACGATCTACAGGCAGACAGATTACACTGATAGTCTGAAGGAGTCCTGCATTGAACCAGCAATCTGCTGATGGCTGTGCAATGCTTTCCAGGCTTCAAAAAAAAGCAAAAAAAAAAAAAAAAAAGCAGTTCTGATTTAAATACAGTTTTTGGTTAAATTTTTTTTCTATCAGGGCAAGTAGATTGTTATCATGGACAAATAGATTTGGCACCCCGATTTAGTCCTTGGACAAGTAGTTTTTAAAAAAATCTGTCCACATCCCTGTGTGTATACGTGTAGCTCTCTCAGTTCAACAGAAGAGAATCGGTAGACTGGACTCTGTTTTAACGATCCTGATGGAAAACCATCATTCGATAAGCGCATGCAGCCAACTGCTACAGCACTGATCAGTTTTTTGCTCTAGTGCACATAGTTTGTATTCTATAAGAGCTGAATGAATCCTAAAGTAAACTGAAATATTTTTTTCTTCAGTTTTGTATAGAGTGTGGAAGAATTAGAATCCCTGTCAGCTTTTTATTGATACCTGCGTCCCTTGCTGGATAGATTCACCCTTCTCTAATTGTCCTTGTGACCACTGACATAGAAAGTGATGGGAAGTCCAAACTTGATATGGTTGTCACCGGAGCAAGGAGTGAGGAGAAATCTTCCAATGGGGACCTCTGTTTATGTGACAACTGAAGAGGGGATTTCCACTTGCTTCCTGCTGCTACTCCAGAACTGTAAGTGAAGGGAACTCTCCCGAACAGTACAAAGAAACACTCCCCAACAGGATTATTTCATAACTTCCCCTTGCACTATGTGACAAAATTATTATCAGTAATAACAGTGAAATATAACATATTATTGGTCAGAAATGAAAGGCAAACAGTGGTAGTTGTAGTACACTGTGGCCTTTACACTCATAGGTATTGTATGAAAGCCCCCTCACTTTCTTTTTCATTGGGCTCTGTGGGAATTTCCCCCTCCTATTTACATTGGTGGTCATTGGTAGAAATCCCTGCTTATATTTATGGATTAATGGTGACTGGGAATAATGTTTCCTCTTCTGCTCACATTGGTGGCTATTGTGAAGAAGCCCTCTCCCCATTCATTGGTGGTCAGAGAAAGGAACTCGCCCACCTTTTACATGCATGGTTAATAGGAAAAACACACCTTTTTTTTTGTTTTTAATTCTGGGTAGAGTTGGAAAAAGCATGTTTTCACTTTTGTCTCGGCCATCATTCGACATGGAGACATTTTTCACCACTTTCTGTTCAGACAGGAATTAATGGAAATCTCCTCAGTAGGGACAGAGACCACAGTAAAAACTTGACAGTGGTTCTAACCCTTCCATGCTCCAATCAAAAACAAAATAAGTTCTTGCTGGAGTTGGGTTTTAAATTTTCATATTTCTCGACATTGCTAGGTGCTATTTTTTCATCAGTATAGCAAGTTGAATGCAGTTATTCATTTTGCCTGCATATGTCCTAAACATCCTTTTCTGTGTCAACAGATGTTTACCAACAAAATCAGAGTATTCTTGGATTCAGCAAAAACACATTTTTGTAATTCACAGAATCTAGATGTCAAACTGTTTTGTACTTTTATTCATAAGCAAGGAAATGAACATGGAAGTGCCATGTCTAAGAAATCTGTAAAGCCGCAGCCCAGGCCACAGTGTGCCTCTTATAGCTCCAGGAAAGAGGTGAAAATCAAGAAATTCTCTGTGGAAGGGAATATTGCTGTTGGAAAGTCCAGCTTCTTGAGATTATTAGCCAGCACGTGTCAAGAATGGAGTTTTATGGGAGAACCTCTACACAAATGGCAGCATGTCCATTCTTCATCCAGTCACGGGATGGATAATCTGCTGCAACTAATGTACGACAATCCAGCTCGATGGTCTTATACCTTTCAGACACTTTCTTGTATGACTCGGTTTAAAACTCAGATTGAGTTGTTTTCAGAGCAGTTGCTGAAGCAGCAAGAACCTGTGCGAATTTTTGAAAGGTCTGTATATAGTGATAGGTTTGTGTTTGCTAAAACTCTCTTTGACCTCGGCCATTTGAGTGACATGGAATGGAACATGTATCAAGAATGGCACACTTTTTTACTGCAGGAGTTTGGGGAGAGGGCTACTCTGGATGGGATTTTATATCTCCGTGCAACCCCAGTGAAATGTTTTGAGAGGCTTCAGAAAAGAGCAAGGAAAGAAGAAAAGAGGGTTACCCAACAGTATCTTGAAAAGTTACATGACCAGCATGAAGGCTGGCTGATAAATAAGAACACAGACCTTCATCCTGCACATTTCAGTAACATTCCAGTTCTGATTTTACAGGTTGATGAGGATTTTGAAGAGAATCCTGTAGTTAGTCAGCATCTCATTAACCAGGTGAAAGACTTTGTAGCCTCCCTGTAATATTTTATTGTTGTATCTGTATTTTAAGGAAATCTGTACTGACCTACATAAAATGCTAACTGCCTGTCTGTGTCTGGCTTCCTTGCTTTAATACACTAATCTCGAACAAACATGAAGATAAGAAAAAATCAGAGTGAAGTCAGAACTGGCTCAGAAAATTCCAAAGCCATTGGATCAGCATGACACCCAAGGGATTATTATTATCACAAGGAATGATCAACAGTGGCAGCTATTATACTTTCTCACAACAGACGTATATTCATACTTGACTCTTGGACTGCTTTGTATATTTCTTCCAAATCTGTGTAGTTTATACAGCATGAAACTTTTGATTTCTGCCGGAACTTCCTGTAATAATGACCAGTGACTGCGGCTCTGTCTCCTTTGTAGGGTAACTGGTCTTGTCTCCACCTCTCCTGTAGTTGTCTACAGGCAGCCTGCAGTGGTTGAACCTGCTGGATCCCTTCCACAGCTCTACTCTGTGTCCAGGCTATGTGCAGCACAGTGATGATGTCTTTGCAAAATTTATATGGTAATATCTGGATTTCCAAAGGTATTTGCTCCAAACAAAGTGGATTTTATATGTTACAGCTATTGAGGAATATATCTCATTAAAAGTTTTGGTACCCAGAGTTCAGGTCAGAAGCAGCTTTTTAATTAGGCAACTGCCTAAGGTCTTGCGCTTACAGGGGCCATGTAGCCACCTAATTTCCCTAATGGAGGGAGGGGAAAGGCATAGGCGTAGCATCAGGGGTCACAATAGCTACCCAGCCTGTGCTTCAGGGGACCTATGCAGCCTCCCTCTCACATTGATCTTTGACACTTTGTTTGCCATAGGGCAGAGTGCCTGTGTGTGTGTGGCAGGGCGGCGGTATGAGAGGAATGTGACAGGACAGACCATGCCCCTCCCCACAGGTTCCAAGTGGGACAGGGCTGTTGAGTGGAGGAGGAATGATACCTGACTACTGCAGCGAGGTAGTGAGTGGTACAGAGTCTGCTCCCCACTGCCTTTCAACCCTCTGTCCTACCTGTCCATGCCCTCTGTGAGCTTGTCCTGCACTCCTCCTCTCTTGCCTTCTCCCCTCACCTCTACCTCCATGTCAGTCCCTGCAGGGGGAAGGAGGACTCATAGACATGCTGGTACTTGTAGTGTCTAGGCAACACAGGGACCCCAATGTGACATGAATTGACCCCAACATTAGCATAGTGTCAGGGGTCACAATGGTGGCCCCATACATGCTCCAGGGGCCTGTGCGGCCTCCCTATTACATTTTGGTTTTACACCTGATCAAGAGGGGCAGCATATACAGGAACTGATTTCCTGTACTTTCCTCCTGTAGACGCTGAAAGCCGGCTTCTCATTTCCCTCCCACTGGCAATCAGCAGCTGCAGGAGGAAAATACAGGAAATCGGTAACTGTATATGCCATCCTGCCTGTCCAGGTCACTCTTATTTCTGCTGCCCAGGCCCCCTGTGTGCTCCACTGCCCCTCCCCCCGCAGCATTTCCAGCTTACCTCCTCTCCTCTGCCACCAGCTACTGCTTTCATGATGGAGAGAGGGGGAAAAGGCCAGTAAATATATCTTATTTAACAGCCCCTTCTTTTTCTGAATGAACACAGTGAGTGATCAGTACCAGTCACTCCTATGTCTATTTAAAACGAAAAAATAGTAACTGAAATCATTCACTGCCCTACTGACCCCATCCTCTGCCTTACGGACACATCCACTGCCCCACTGACATCATCCACTGCCCTCCTGACATCATCTACTCTATTGACCCCATACTCTGCCCTACTGATATCATCCACTGCCCTACTGACACACCCACTGCTCTACTGACATTACCCACTGCCCCACTGACATCACCCATTGACATCATCCACTGCCCCACTGACATCATCCACTGCCCTACTGACACATCCACTGCCACTCATTGGGATCATAGAATGTGTGTAAGGGCTGCCATGCACATGGGGGCTTCTCTGTTCCTGGGGGGTATCATGCAGGCTGTCCTTCCCCTGGATCATCTACAGTGGATGCTACATGTTTAGTCTGCATGGTGCATTACATAGGGCTCACTGGGATCATAGGATGAGGCTACCATGCACATTGGGAACAGCCATGGGCCTCCATTCTTATATGTCTGTCCCTTCCTTATGGATCCTAAAGCACATTCTGGGTGTACTATGCATGCTGGCCTTCCTCTGAATTGTTTACAGTGCTCCACTTCACATACTACATGTGTAGCCTGCATGGTGCATTGCATCGGTATCACTGGGATCATAGGATGTGTAGAGGCTGCACATGGGAGATCATCCCTGGCCCTGCATCCTCTAATGTCTGTCCCTAAAACATATTACATAGATGATTAGCTTTTGCATAGATGATTGTGTGGTGGCTGTGTGGGTTACAGTGGAGTGCACACTGCAGGTTTCAATCACTGTGATGCAGTACTGCTTTCATGAATGTCATAGCACAGTAAAGCATATCCTGCATATTTTAACTGTCTGATGACTACAAATGATATATGACTGTGGATGATGCTTGGTGTACATTTACAGCCTAGGTATGGGCCATGATGAACAATGCATTCATACACCATTACACTGACCACACTGCATGATTCTGAAGCTTGGCAGTAGGATGCTGGCAATTCTTTCATTTTTCTCTATACTGGTTTGTCTTTTCCTGACACGGCAGTACAAATAAATTCAGCACCAGGTGCTCTTCTGTATTCAGGTTCAGTGACCATAGTCAATGCATTGGCTGTGTCGCCAGAAGGTATGGAGCATAGGTTTAGGAAAATCTATAGCTCTTGTTAGGTAATGTGAAATGTACGCATAACGGAGAACTGTCTAGTAAGTGACAATCACTATACAGAGGGAGCTTGTGTAGCAGTGCATATCCTGGTGTGATATGATCCAATGACATGCTGAAATCCTTGAGGACTGGCCATGGGTGAATTACCATCAGTTCGTTGTACACTACACAGTGCAATGTATTAATAATTATTTATTGCTTGAATTTTTTTTCCCCATTATGGGCGTGAGTGTGGCCTCATGTTTAAGTTTTGCCTAAGGCCTCACAAAGCCTAGAGCCGCCTCTGGTTCAGATTTATATATCTTGGTGAATATTAAAGCTGAACTCAGGGGAAAATAACAGTAATTCCCTTGTAGTGCCTTCCCTCATCTGCAAGAGTTAAATGCTTATCAAGTCTAGGGTACCGGTAAAAGGAATTTTACACCCAATCCCTTCCTCCCTCCCACAGGTTTTCCCCATGCTGTAAGACATGTCCTCTCAGCGCACCAACAGTCACAGGCATTCTGATGTTATCAAGTGTGATGCATTTACTAGTAACCTTGCATTATATGTGCAGATGCTGAGGAACTGCCTACAAACTGAAGCATCGGACAGAAGAGTTGAGCTCTGGCTGCCGTGGAAGAGGGATTAGATAAGTAAAAGTCCTTTTCCCTGTTACTAGTCATGAACAAGCATTTAATTCTTGCAGCATAGGAAAACCTCAATGTAAGGGTTTTTTTTTTTTTTTCTTGGACTTTAGCTTTAAAATATGAACGCAAGGCAGATATAGATATACACCAATTTATTATTTGCAATGCTGCATTTAGTAAAACATTATAATATGTATTTCAAGTGCAAGTAGTGTAAGTACCTGAACCTGTCCTGTATCCCCACACAGCAGAGCTCAGACTGGTACAGGGTGGGGCAGAACTGGCACCCATTCAGGTGTGCTGCATGCTTATGTGCTGGCAGGAGAAAAGAGCAGGCTAATGTCTCATCAGTATTCTTCTGCTCCTTCACTGACCATTTAGGCTGCATTCACATTTGAGCGTTCTGTAGCTTGAAGCTCGAAGCTCCAAAAATGATCAAATTTAAAAAAATCAGTTCGCCAGGTGTGAACAGGCACCATAGAGAGCAATTGATTTTTGTAAGTTTGAGCTTATAGGCTGAGATAGGGAGCTGACCACCTGAATTATTTAAAGCTGTATTGAACCCAAAACCAAAAATGTAATATATTGTGGCTTACTAATCATTCAGTGTGGTTGCTGCATTTGTTTTCTTTTTATAGGCCGTTTTTCTCTCTCTCTTTTTTTTCATCCGGTGATCTGGCCAGGAACACACTTCCTGTATTAGAATGCCCCCACTTCAGATGAAGGAGCACAGGGGGCACCTTTGGATGTCAGTGTAGGGGGAGGGGAGTGTTAGATGTACTAGCAGATTTAGATACATTAACAAACTGAAGACAAACTTCAGCTCATACTGCAGTTACAGCAACATTTTTTTCTGGGATAAAGATTTTACATAAAAGGCGATCACTCTAAGCACCCATTTCAGTGGTAAATTGTTTGTCTGAACTCTCAAACTGCTACATTTGCAGGAGAGCCTGTTCTGTTGAAAAACAACAGACTTACTGACAGGATCACCAGATGAAAATAGAAGAAAGTGTAAGGCCCCTTATACACTGGCGGACCTCGCCTGCTCAGCGGGGACTCTCTCCACTCATTCCAGCTAAGCAGGTGGATGACAGGTCTGCTCTGCTTGTGCAGAGCATACATGGACACAGCCCGCTGTTCTCTATGGGGCGGCCAGATGTAAACGGACCACCTGTCTATTTATATCTGACTGTTATCCGGTCCAATCCGCTATATGGATGGGGAATGGATCCCCCATCTGTTTTTAACAGGTTGCAGACGGGTGTACACAGACACATGCAAGTTTACATCCACCTCCCTATAGAGAACAATGGATGGTCCGATCAGGTCCGCCTGAAAAACAAGCAGTCGGTCCTCTTGTGTGAAAGGGACCTGAAAATAAAAACGCATGCAGCCATCACATCTAACAATTGGCAAGCTGCAATATAATAAATGTTTGCTTTTGGGTTTAATACCGCTTTAACTGTACCAGAGAAAAGTCAGGTCACCAACCTCGTTCTACTGTCAGCTGGGCTGTGTGAATCTCAGAACTGGATGGACAGCATTAC